GGCTGTGCACTATGGGCTAATCTCCAAATCTTATCCTAGGTACTTTAATTTGTCATACAAAGCGTTTGTCTTGAGTAGCTTTGACTCGTAAATCTCGTCTCCTATATAGAAACAACTAAATCATGACATCAGCAGCTTGTTGAATTATTACTAAGCATAAAATAGCAATCAATTATTCACCTGACTAAAGGATTCACCGGTATTCCTTGACCTTCTATCCGTGGAAAACGAATACACAGAATTCTTTGAAGATGGTGCTGCCCACAGCTGAAAGAATGTGAGAGGTGATTAGTTGTTTCCACCTGGTTTGTTACGTCATGTATCGCTAGACATTGCTATCACCTGTCTCTCAGCCGATCCCCACCATGTGAACACGAAAACAGGGAGAGCCGCCACAAGAGCGGAGACACGAAACACCATCGACCACTCCGATGCGGCACCTTAATGATCAAATAAGTTCGATAATAAAAAAGTCCGCCAAAGATCCGACAGACCTATCTTGAACAAAACTCAAATAAACATGTGAAGATTCATTAGTGCTGTCGTCATATATTCAAGTCACACCTTGTTGCACGATGTGCTTCGTGAGAATCTTGTTCCCAATGCTGAACCATGCAACTGCAAAAAACGACCATCCCGTGATGATACCCGAGAAAGGGGGTGCCAGTTGCACCAAAGCAGTTATCACACCAGGTGTATGCATTCCTGAAATCGACTTCTGCAGAGGTACATAGCGTTCCATTTCCTGTCTGGGAGCTCATACTTCATGATAAATAAAAGAGAGAATGGCAGAGATTGATGTGGATGACACTGATACAAAGGGCAGGGCATATCATTAGTTGGTGATTTTGGCCGAGTCCGACCCCTCTCCCTAGCTCCCTCCTCTGACATCAAGCTGTCGAGCGGGGAAGGGGAAGACTTCTCTCAGAAAGGGAGACGGATCCCCTCTCTTTCAACAACGACCAAATACGACCCCTGCCCCCTTATCGCCCCATAAAATAAGAGAAACCCCACTATAAAAAGAATCTTCACAGACCAAATATACTCCTCGACCAAATATGACCTCCTGTTGGGGAATCCCCAGGGCCAAGATGTGCTCTGAGAAGGGGTTTCTCGAGTAACACGTTCAAAATATTCCAGAATCCGAGACGCTAAGCTCTCGTAAAGTAAGCTGTCGGGATGCTCGCTACAGCATTGCTAAGAACCTTGGACCAAGCCAAAAGGCCGCTTGTTCACCAGTTTTCCTTGGATTTATTTTAAAATACAGTTTTCTTATATACTCTCTAATGTACGAGCGGATTTTTCTGTAGAATATAACAGGTCATGATGAAGGAGATCAGGAGAAGCCATCAGTTATCTCAACTCAGGAAGGAGAACAACATTCCAAACAGTACCAATATTTCGTTTCGTTGATGAGGGGCTGAAGATGAAATCGCTAACGGAACTCAAAGCGCAAACTAAACAAAGAAGCGAAGAAGTAGGAATAATTTAACGAATAGCGCACGAAACTCCCTGCCAGCTGCCATATTTCACCCGGTCTAGCCTTGTCAATTTCACTTCTCAATATTTCGTACAGGGAGAAATGCCTGAGAAGCCAACATGATGCAGCATTGGCATTCATCAAGCCCATCGCTTCTAGACCTCCGAACTTTTATGCAAGCGGAACGAACAAGACATTATGTTCGTCAGGCTGGAATGTATTTTTCGGGACAGTAGGAGTAGAGAATGAACGTTTTTTTCTCCCATTGTGTATCTGTGCGATACGGATTCGAGCCCCAGCTGCGGCAAAGCCTTCTATCGATAACTCAGCAATTTTGCAGATTCTTTCAAACTGTGGTAAAAGTAGGCAGCCACAAGACAATACAGATCAGTCAACGAGAGGGAATTTTTAGATTGTTTACGAGATCAGCAATAAGGTACCGTTTACGAAATCCAAAGTTACCTGCGAATATCATTGCTCCACACAGTGAGAACACAGCAAATACTGCTCGAGTTTTGTCGAAGAGGGGCACCATGAAGATGCACATTGCCAGTCCCGCAGAAGCAATCGCGTTGAAACCCTAAGCAAGATGTCACTCAGTACTGAGATTCGATCAACCGGGTAGTGTTAAATAAAAACTTGAAACTGCCATAAACCGTTAAGCAGGGAGCAGGGTTATTCAGCTTTTCTTTACTCAATGGTCTATGACACCGCTCCTGGCTTTCTGTGGGATTTTCGAGGGGCATTTCACCTAGTGTGGAATTAAATAATGGAATTAACGAAAAACGAGAATAAAAATATGAAGACTTCGTTGTAATGTAGTGCCTCCAATCCATAGCAGCTCTTCTAATAATTTATTGCGTGCTCTAATTTTCTAGCAGCCCCTTGAAACGGTTACTATTCAAAATAGGTGAGACACATGGAGAGAATGCTCAAAGTAAAATGTTTAAGCCGAAGGTGCGCTTTATGCCTTGAAAAGTTAACACACACTCTTGGGCAAAAATCAACGGAACGTGCTCTATGCTATTGCCTGATCGTAAGGAACAGGGTGTGGAGACTGATTTTTTTACAAGCCAGACTGGGGAAAAAAAGGTTAGATCTCTCACCATGAAGAGTAATGAACCACTTTTTTTTGTCGACAGTGAAGGTCTGCTCTGAGCAAATAAACTTCTTTTCGTATCCCATAAGACGTGTCATTACATTTTTGGAAATATTGAAAAACTTCCACGTCCTTGAAGGCATCTTAGACGAGTGGTATGTACATTTGTTGTACACTTTGTCATTCCTCCTGTTAAGCATCTCTCAGATACCACGGGAGCCTATTGAACGGTCGTCAAAATCACAGTGCTGTGATCAACAGTTCATTTGTCACATAAAGTACCGGAATAAATCACTTTTCATAAAGAGGGATGGGTTCCGGTGTTTCACACAACACAAGACCTGCTTGCTATGCCTATGTATTGGTCATAGTCATCCATTTCTGTTGCCTACACATAAAAATCACGGCAGTGCCGGTGCAGTGCATACGGTGCCAGGAACAGTTCATAAAGGCTAAAGACAGAGTTCGCGAGGAGCGGCAGAAAGCCCGTAGATGGAGAGGGTGAAAAATCAGAAGCATATGTGCCAGTTCGCATTTCTGTAAGGAAGAAGC